TACGATATTTTCTGACAAAAATACTTTTTAAATGTTCTGCAATACCCAACTTGTACGCTACAAAATTGGTAATCCACGTCCATCACGTCCTATGGTAAAACATCCGTATAAAGTTCATGTTTGGGATGCTTTCAGCCATCAAGGACCAATTGGTTTGATATTATTTACAGGAAAGATGAATGCTGAGAAATATCAGGATATTCTTCGATCTCAATTGCTTTCTAATGCTAATCGTGCTGGTAATAGATGGTGTTTTCAACAGGATAATGCACCAACCCATACCGCGAAGCTTACCTGTCAATTTTTGTGATAAATAATGTTCTGGTGATTGATTGGCCTGCTAACTCTCCTGACTTAAATCCAATCGAGAATTTGTGGGCGATTCTTAAAGAAAAAGTGAAGGAAAAGGTTAATGATTGGATTAGAGAAAAAAAAATACTTAGCGCAGATGCTTTTCAAAGCATAATTCAAAGGGAATGGGAAAATCTCAATCAAAACATTTTCTTTAACTTAGCAGATAGTATATCAGATCAGATTAGTATGGTTATAGAAAAAAATGGGTATACAATAAATTATTAATTCTTTAAATATATTGTTTTTTATATAATAAGCTGTTGATATTATAAATTTGAAGTAAAAATAATAAAATTTGTGATACTTTTATATGTTATAATAAATTCCGGATATTAATGTCGTGAACTGTAGTTTATTTAATAAAAATTATTTTTAAAAGTTTTTAATATTTTTGAAAAAATAATCAAAAAATTTCAGGAAAGAGTTTGAGGATTCAAATAGCAATTTGAGGATTTGAATGGTTTTTTTGTACTTTATTCAGGACTTGAAATCAGTATAATACCCTAATATTTGCATATTGATAATTTGAAAGGAACGTCTAAAGACTCTAAAAGTAATTCTTTAAACTGATATGTCTTATAATTTTAGGTTACTATACCATCACTCCCGTATCTTTATTTTAAAGCTGTTTGATATATCACAAATCCTGTCTAACATAGTTATACCCTACTAAAACCCTTTTTTAGAACCTCTATAGGTATTAACTTAATAACCAGGCATGTTAGATGTTCAGCTATATTACTGGATAGAGAGATCATTCCATCATAGTGTTTATTCACACTAAATTTACTAGAGGATTAAATATCAAATATGACTAAGGTTTGTGAAATTATCTGTGATACTTTGCATTATACCATTGAGTTATAACCTTTCATCTCTGATTAAATAGTTTAGTTTAATACAAAGCAGCCTTATATAGTTTATATCAGTGTGTAAAATCTATGTGCACAATGTGCACATTAATTTTTTGTGTGCACATATTACACAACATTAAAATGTGCATAAATTATTACTAAAAATAGATAAATTATGTATAAAAAAGGTAATTTTACATAAGAAAATGTTATGATTTTCTTATTTTAGTAATAATTAATTAATTTGTACACATAAATTTTAACTTAGATTTTATACACTGGTTTATACTGCAAAAATTACTATATTTTATAAATGAATACAACTATGATAACTTCATATCTATACCATTAAAGTAATCCAGAAATCAAACCTGGCCTCTACTCCTAATATAAGACCTAGATGTTACAGAAAAATAATACCATATTTCCTTATAGTAGTGATATGCACTTAGAAGATTAGAAGCATCTTTGAAAGCACTTTTGAAAGGTTTGGAAGTACAATTTATTAATAAAATTATTTGGATTAGAAGCTTCTAATCAAATTTTTTACTATTAGAAGCATAAAATGTATATTATTGCCTTATGAGACTTGTAAAGATCATTCTGAAGGCAAGCCTTACTGAATAAGGGATTAGGATCTTTCTGAAAGTGAACTTTACCACACCATATAGACATATCATAATTGAAGACAATGCATAAATTTGACATTAAGTAACTATTACATAATATCTACCATTAGATATTATTCTATTGGATTTTATATTGCAGATAATGTGATATAACTACTATAGATAACCTTTCACATTTTTTGTCTAAGTTTAACTTATCAAAGGTCATCCCTAATCAAGATCATCATATTCTACAAATCCAGATCTACCATGTATATGGTTTGCATACATCCTATGAAATTCATTCTTAGAATCAAACTGGTAAATTTCATAAATATAATTATAATCTGCTGTGACTAAGAGCTGAACTAGAATCTATCATAATATAACTACAATAGGATTTTAATTATTACCAACTACAACAGGATTGCCAAATTCTTAAGGATTTAAATAGTAATTGTTTCATAAGAAATGGAGCGGTATTGATAGAAATCGTACTTTTAGATATTTTAGATATTATTTGTATAATAAAATTAATATAGATATGATTTACTGTGATTATATATAGGGATATAATTTGATGTGATTATATAGAAGGCAATTTTTTTACATTCATTATAAGATGGGACCAAAAATTGATATGATTATATTTTATATATTATTATAATTATAAAAGGAGTATTTTCTTATTTAAAAATTTGGGCAGAATTATAATGTGACTAAAGAAAGTATATGATTATATAGGAGATGACTATATAGAAGGTTGACTGTAATGATTATTTCCAATTCTAAATCATTATAATTTTTCCAAAAATTTACAAAAAATCTAAAACCATGTAAATATCATGTAATCTTGCTTTATCACATTGTAAAATATTTAAAATTTTACAATATAATTTAAGTAATTTAACAAGTTCTAAAGTAATTGTCACCAACTTTTATTAAGTAAAGTAGATGCAATTTTAACAGAAAGATATGATAGATTATTAGGATGATGATGAGATGTTAATTATTTAGAAGGTTTAAATTTTGATCCTAAAATTTTATTTTATAAAAAAAAAATTAAAATTAATTTATTATTTAAAATATTATATTTTAAAAATAAAATAAAAATATATAATATCTATAAAGTTGCTTTTGATTTAATTAAAGTATAAAACATCTATAATGATTATTTCATCTTGTATTATTTCCAATAGCAATTTGAATATACTTTCTATATGCTTCTTTTTATAAAGTTCAAAGTTAACCAATAAAATATTTATTATTAAATTATTTAAAAAAATAGCAATTTTTATTGTCTTTATTGAAGTTTCTTTAAATTTTTCAGATTTCTTAAAAATTTTTACTAATAAAAAGATTTATTTGATATGCAAAAATATGAAAGAAAAGTAATATGTATATATTTAAGTCAAAGTTTATATCTATTAAATAAATAAAATGATATATAATAAATACCTTGCAGCTGCATAACTTGATGCACTATTTGTTACAAATGCAATAAGATTTACTTGCACATCATTAATTTTTTTAAACATTATTGATGTTTTATCAAAAACCTCTTTTTATTTTTCTGATTTCCCAGTAATATCTATTGCTTTTCAAATTAAAACTTCTTCTTCTGATGTAATAAAAACCTGAATCAAGAATATTTTAGTTTAAAACATTTATTTAACCATCAAATATTAAAGTAACATTAATAATATCAGCCTTTAATTTTTATTTTATTTTATTTTGAAGTGCTTTTAATTCTTTATTTAAAATTTAATCTCCTAAAGTCTTGTGTTTTGGTATTTTTAAAACTGGATTTAAAAAATAAAAAAGCTTTTAAATATCTTTATTTTTAAAGAAAATCCTGCAAAAATAGTAGCTCGAATTATTAATTTTTCAAAAATGCTATTATTATTCTTTGAAAGTGGTTGAGATATAAATGATTTAGAAATATAAGAATCAAGTGGTTCAATTGATGTATTAAATCTAGTATTTTTGTAAATAAAAATTTTAATATTAAATATATAAATTTTTAAATAATATTAAATAAATACATACTTGCTTATGAAGTAGAGCTATATGTTAAATTAGTAGATTCTCTATGTAAACTTTTTTTTTAAATAATAATAAGTTTATCTTCTTCAAATTCATCATTTTTACTTCTAATTCAGGTTTAAAAATTCAATAAATTGTTAAGGATATTTATTTTTAAAGTTATTACATTTTTTAAAATGGTTTTTAATACAATTACTTTTGTTTGGCATTTTTTTAAGCAAAACAACTTGATGACCTTCAATGTCTTTGCATGTAATGCAAATACAAAAAAAATATCATCATAAATCAGCTTTTTCTGATATAATTTCAATAAAAGGTTTATTATGTGACATATTTAAAATATAATTAACCTTATAACTTATAAAATTGAAAAAAAAATTGGAAAAAAATAAAAATAAAAAAATTAATTTTTTGTAAAAAATGTAAAAGTACATACATATTTGAATATCCATAAGTCTGAAGCTCCAATTTATAGGATTTTCATCAATTATTGAATTTTTGCAATAAATCGATGTTCCGGATGTTTAGTTATTACTTTATCTACTATCCAATTACATTTAGCCAATTTGCAAAATGACATTTGGCCGATTTGGCCAAAATTACCATTGGTCACAGCCAAATGCCCATGATCACTGCGTGACATTTTTAAGCAGTTTTCAACTCTAATAAAATATAGTGTATCTTTATCATCACAATTATCAAAAAGCAAAAATTCGAAAATCACGGGACACCTATAAAAATGTTGGTCGTTTATTCTTAAATTTTTATTAATTTATATTTAATAAATTTCTCATACTTGCCATACTGGAAACATATATCTATTCGTCACTTAGAAATTTCCATATTTAATGCTTAAAGTTAAATTGATCTGATTTACTGATCCAATCTCGGATGTTTCATTTAGAACAATTACCTTGTGACTTTTACTCATGGTAGAATTTATTTTTCATCATATGAAATGTTTATTTGTATGAAAAGTTTAATACAAAATTAGAATGTATGTATGTGATTGATATGATTTTGATAAATTAATTTTTGAGGTTGATATTAAAATCATCGTCTATATGTTTGAATTGCAAGTTTCATGATGCACAAGATGTCTTACAATCTTTTATTGAAAGTATTTACGATTCATTATTTATAATTTTATAACATCATCGATTATGTCTTGCATTTCATTCACTGGAATCTCAGCCGAAACTTCAACCACCTGACAAAAATTTAAATAATCATCTTTATTACACAAATAAGTAAAAATGAATGAATAAATAAGAATGGTGTATTATACCTTATCACTTTCAGTTATTATCTCTTGAATCGGTTGAATCAGGCAATTCATTTGTTTTTTCTTGAACCTTATTTCAGACATTAGAGATTCATTTTCTTGATTGATCTATTAAAATGATTTCAATAATTCAGTCAACAAATCTCGTGCAATTATTTGTCTTTAACAATATTATTAATATATACCTTTAAATATTCGCGTTCTAAATTTCTCATTTCTTCGAATTTAATCGGTAATATCTTGGCGCATATGATTGCTTTAGGATTAATATTGCTCCTAATGCATGCATATATTTATTTTTTTTTTATTTTTTTTATTTTTTAGAAAAGAGCAATCATACCAATTATTTCGGATGTACTTTATGTTCATTGATGTTAATAAAGAGAAAGTTACTTTACTGCGTGGGTTGAATCGGAATGTGACCATCTATTTGATGATTTTTGGCTTTTGCAATTATATCGTCAAATTCATCAAGTTTTTCCAGTATTTTACGCTGTTCCAAAATGGAATTAAATTCTTCCTTTAAATAAAAATAAATTGAATATTTTGAGAATCAAAGTTGATAATATATTAATAATAATAATTTATGTAATTCTAACCTCAGCGCTTGTTTTTAAAAACTCTTTAACTTGATAAAGAGCTTCTTGAAGTCTTTCGGGCTGTTCTTTAGCTAAAGTTGGATAGCATTGTGCGACTTTTTCATAACTTTGAATTTATAAATCCAAAGTAAAAAAAAAGAAAAAGTTTTGATTTCGTCTGTAAACACTTATGAACCATACCTGAAGCTTTTTAACGTTTCTCCTAAACAACTTTCTAACGCTTGTTTAATTTTTTTAGATTTTGTAAGACTATTGCGTTTTGACATTATTTATGTAATAGAAGCTTATTTTTTTTTCACAAAAAAATGATTTTTATATAATATATCGTACGCGTCAGTAATTGTGTAACCTATCGAATCTATTACGTCACAAGTGATATTTATTTATTGAATTAAATGTTTGTAGGTAGGAAAAAAAATTATTACCAAAAAAAAATTATTTATAGAAATTTATATTTAGTCTTCATTAGTTGTTTCTACTAAACAATTCCAATTGATTTCTGGTTTACCCAATTTTTTCAAATAATCATTAGCTTTAGACCAATGATGACATTCAAAAAATCCACGATGAGCAGACAATGGCGACGGATGGACAGATTGCAGAACTAGATGTTTTTTCTAAAAATTTAAACGATATAAATCAATTCAGCAATTGATATATAATAGTCAAAAAAAAATCTCGTTTTTAATATTTACATTGTTAATACTTTTACCCTTCTTGATAGCATGATTTCCCCATAACATAAAAACCAATTCATGTTTTTTCTCGGATAAATATTGTATCACAGCATCAGTAAATTTCTCCCATCCTTTTCCACTGTGACTTGCCGCGTTATGTGCTCGTACAGTAAGTGAAGTATTTAATAGAAGGACTCCAGCTTTGGCCCAATTAACAAGATTACCGTGTTTTGGTATCTGAAATGACGGAATATCTTTTTTCAATGCTTTATATATATTAACCAAAGATGGCGGTGGATTGACACCTTCCGGCACACTAAAACATAAACCATGAGCCTGTCCATCATCGTGATATGGATCTTGCCCTATAATAACGACCTTGACCGAAGATGGTGGGGTGTATCTCGACCAACTATAAATCTCCGGCTCTATTATTTATTATATACAATTATATTTTTAAAATTTTTGTTAAAATTGGTTTTTCATTTATTTAATAAATATTTATACCGGGTGGAAAAATTTTATGATTCTCTTTCTCATTTTTAAGAAATTTCTTGAGCTAAAGGTAAAGTAAAAAGAAAAAGAAAAAGAAAAAGAAAAAAAGACGTATTACATATTTTTATTTACTCGTCAAGTACATAAAGATTCACTAAAATGACAATTTATTACCTCTATAAAGTATTTCTTCTGTATTTCTTCACCTAAAGCTCTTAACCACTCACTATTCATAGTTTCAATCTCTAAACTTAATATGTCTTTAACATTTTTATCTGTTTTACTGAATAAAGCTTCCAAGTTAACCGTACGCGTTTGCTGAGGCTTCACCCAGGCAGCAAGAGAACTTTGAGTTTTGTTGGCTACTTTTTGCTTTTTGTTATTGTCAGAAGCTGAATTTTCATTACGTTTGGACATCCTGGCAACAATTTTTAGGTAAGAAAAGTTACGCGAGTTAAAAAGTCGCATGATTTGACATCACCTATAAATAGAGTGGATGGTCAATCGAATATCCAACTTGGGAGGTTAGATATTGTTTGAATGACGATCAAAAAAATTAAATTTATTAAATCTTGGGTCAAATTGTTATTTTAATAAGAAATGCGAAAATAAGTAAAGGAGGAGCTTTTTTATGCCATTTAAAATGAAGGATATCGCCATTTTATCATATATCATGATACTAAATAAAATCTCTCATTCAAAAAAAAAGACCGACTTTTCCAACCATTAAATGGTAAGTAAATTCAACACGAAAAACACGAAAGAAAAATGTGAGTTAGATATTGATCTTTTTGACATTTGACAGCAACATTGATATCAAAATGAGAAGATTTAAATTGAGAGAGTAATAAGGAGTTAAGATGTGATAGGCGTGGACTTTCCTGAGCGCAGTTAATCATACATAATATTTGCTTATTAATGATCAGCAACTACTCCATAAAAGAAAAGATCTTCAATATTCATCGTAACATGAATAAATAACATCATATAAATTTTCTCATTCTTTCGTTTTTTTTTTTTTTGTATAAAAAAAAGTTATATTGAAAATTATTATTTATTTACTTCCAAAAAGATCAAAAGATGGCTCTTGCAAATGCAACTTTTGCTGAAATTTTGGACGATTTATCAAGGTTTTAAATATTTTGATATTTTCAATTTTATTTAATATAAAGTCTCACAATTTCACATATATTTTTTCATTTATTTAAGTCGATTTATAATAAACGTCCCTGAAGAAGAATTAGCCTCAGTTGAAAGGATATGTTTTCAAATTGAACAAGCCCATTGGTTTTATGAAGATTTTGTAAGAGAACAAAATCCAAGCTTACCTAGTTTCAACTTGAAGAATTTTTCAGCAAAATATATCCTTTATTTTTTAGCATTTAATGAGAACCTAAAAAATTTTCATGCTTTATAAAAAAAATTATAATTTCCATAATTCCCTCCCACTTTTTAAGCATTGTCCTTTGTTGCATCAATGGTCTCACGAACATGAAAAAGCCTTTGCTGATTTTATGCAATATAAAATCAGGGTCCCCGTATGCGGAGCAATTATGTTAAATGAAACCATGGAGAAGGTATTCATTTATTTAATCAATCAGTTTATCCATAAAAAGAAAGAAAATCATTTTAATATTTTAATTCTTAAATCAGTGTGTATTAGTGAAAGGATGGTCTTCTCGTTCAGGTTGGGGTTTTCCTAAAGGAAAAATAAATAAGGATGAACCTGATTCTATTTGTGCTGCTAGAGAGGTGAATATCCATTTTTAGACAGTATATTAATAAGAATCAAAACTAATCGTTTGAATTATAATTATGTAATATCTTGTAGGTTTTGGAAGAAACTGGATATGATATTTCTCCTTTAATTAAAGAACAAGATTATGTTGAATTAACAATTCGTGAACAACGAATACGCTTGTATATAGTAGTAGGTGTACCTGAAGAAACGGAATTTTGCCCCAAAACGCGAAAAGAAATTAGTGTATGTTATCTTTTATGTATGTGTTTTATGTAATTCATTTATTAATATATATCTTGTATATTTTACGCTAATAGAAGATAGAGTGGCATAAGGTGGCTGATTTACCAACGTGGATAAAAAGCAGGGATAGAGACACACCGTACCATTGTGGAGGTGGCTGTGTGAAATATGGAAGTAGTAGATTTTACATGGTTGTTCCCTTCGTGAGGTATGCATATCTAAAAAATTATATATTACACCTATTAAAACATACATCCATTAAACTTTTATCTTAATTACGATATTAAAGCAAATTGCGAAATTGGCTTAAAACACAGAGAAAAAATCGTAAAAAAAACGCAGAAGCATCAAACCAAGACGAATCAATTGAAGTAGTGATATTTAATGGACATGCAGCAACTTCGGACGCCAAGGAGACATCACCAGAAACTTCCGTACCGGGCACAGAAAGTGAAAGTAGCCATCATGAACAATCTCCGAATATTAGCGCACAACTTGGACAATTTTCTTTACCATCTTTATCATATAATCTACCCGAGCTTGGTCCAAATTCAGTACTTCCATCAGAGGAGCTAATCACGAATCATTCACAAAAAATTTTTTTGAAAAATATTCCGCGTAGTGATTCACAAACTCCAATTCCCAACAAAAACAGTTCCGACATAACTGCCCCAATTCCAATACACGCCAATACGAATGTCGCAATTGCTGCTTTGGATCCTGAACAAAAACTTCGACGAAATTCGTTATTAAATATATTTTCTTCTTCGACTTCTTCGAAACATTCTGGCTCGGAAGCTTCAATTCCTTCAATGACTGTCGAATATGATGTACAACGAAAAACTTCTTTGCTGAATGTGCTTCAACCGGAAACATTAGCTATTTGTACAATTCCTTCGAAAAACTTGACACATGATGATATCATCCAACATCAGTTGCAACAAACCAAAGTACAATATTTGCCAGAATCTTATGATATTATAAAGCCATCAAATGATGCCATATTTAATATATTTCAACATCATATAAATCAAAGCATTTCTCAAAATGATAATCATGTAGCTTCAAATTTACCATTAGGAATAATACCTAATTCCACAAACCTGAGGGATCCTACATACGACAGAAGTATGATGACACCAAAAATATCATCTAACATTGGACATATCGGACAAGGTCGACCTACGAACAATATTGTCAATAATAATCATGAAGACTCACGTAAAATGTCGCTTTTAGGGTTGCTTTCTACCGTTCCTAATTCTGGTAATGGTTCCATGATTAATATTTCTTCAGTTGACGACCCAGTCAATCATCAAAGTATTATCTTTTCGAATGCAAGTACAAATTACAGTAATTCTCCGAGTATTATTCAACGATTAGGTACCCCGATCTCATCAGGCAATCCACCACATACGAATCACGAACCATTGCTGCGTCTAATCAAATCTTCATCTTTACCGCAAAGCAAGCCTACTTCTCCAAAAATTGTCGTCTCGAGTGTCAACAGTAAATCTTCCACATTATTGCAAAATTACGGACGATTGAATAATTTCAATATGACTAGCGAGATAGATGAAAAGAGTTGCAACCGATTTATGGATGATGATTATACTCGGAATAATTATGCAACTAATAGTACAGATTCACGTGTCGATAAACGCGTAGATCAACATGTATCACTACCTTCCGGTAATAACAACAAATTTGTTGAGGATTTACGTGTTCGTCGTGAGCTACTTGATCGTATTCAGGAATTTATTCCTCCCAGTGGTACAAAATCACAAGAAAACAATGTATTATCCTTTATTTATGATAAAAATCCCATGTCTAGTTTCAAATTTGATGTAGAAAAGATTGTTGCGGCTTTGTAATGTGACCAACAATTTTTAAATTTTTTTTTGAAAAAAATTCAATCATTTTTCAAATTAATCTTGCATTATTGATCAATAATGAATAATTCAAAAGTCCCGTAAGATAAAATTTATTAATATAAATCCAAAAAGAAAAAAATTTTTATAAACATTCAGGTAATTTGTTAATTTCGTTATCAAAATCTGTCTGACTGGTCGAAGATCGCTGTACGATGAGAAACGATTCATAAGCCAAAGATCATAAGGAAAAAAGATTTAATAAAATGGTTATAATTACCGGAAAAGATTCAAACCAATTCCTCAGCAATCCATAGCATTTTTTAATTTCTTCAAGCAATACACGAGTTAATATATTTAACCTTGCAAGGATTGCCAGACACGTCAAGGCAAATGACATGAATTCAGTTTGGCGGAGGAGCGCGTTAAAAGTACTATGTCAATAAACAAATAAAATTTCAATATTTATATATAAAGAAGGTATGCATGAAAGATATGTGAATACTATAAATACTCGAAAGCGTCGATGAACGTGTCCAAAGCCTAAAATAATGTTGTTAGAGATAAATATATAATTTTTTTAAAAAATAAATAATAAAATTAAATTAATTTGCTTACCTTATTCATTAATAACGCTACGCAAATTAATCGATTCATTACGAAAACTACCATTTCTTGAGATGGAACTTGATCCCACGTATTTTGTGTTTTTCCGCTTCATGCAATGTAATATATTAAATGAAGATTTATGGAAAACAAAATTTTATTTTTAAAGAAAAATACTTACATTTTTGTACTGTAAAAATTTCCTATAAATCCAGACATCAATTCATTAATCTCCATCTCTTTAATTCTTTTTAAAATTCTTCTTATCTAAAGATTTTAAACCGAATTAGAACAAATTTCAAACCATAATATGACATAATATGAATGTTATGAATGACAATAAGATCACCTCGACGATCTTACGAAAATATATGGAACGTTGATGTTGATTTTTATTTTTATAATAAAGACGTTCTAAAATGTTAGATTCATCCCATATTTCATTTTTCTGAAAAATAATTACTTGGGAAGTAAGTTGGTTAAAATTGTTAAGATGAATTTGATTAGAAAGTGAGGAAGAACAAAGTGCTTCTCTTGGAAAACACATTTGAATTGGCTTTGAGACATTACGGATAGCGAATAGTGAGACCTGGACTTAAATTGTATCATCGTTTAATAATAAAATTCAAAATTTAAATCAGAAACATATAAAAATATAAAGAAAGATAAACTAATATATATATAATGTAACATTAAATTATTATTTTAGCAATTCTCATAATATGGATCATAAATTATCTAATCGTCTTATTTTAAATATCTTAATTTTAATTAAGTAGTCATTCCATGATAATTACTCAATTTTCTCGATTCATCTATAAAAATTTCAAAAATATAATCCGTAAGATTTTTTGTAAAGAACCAGAATATTTTATATAAAGTTCACATACTTGAGTACCACACTGGAACAGCTATTTCGGCTCCGGTGGTTTTAATAACTACTTTTCTTCGTATCCATTTACGTGGTCGCGCATTCTTTGGATTTTGTAAAATATTACCTGAGTAAACTGGAAAGGTTGGTTGAAAAGTTATTTTTCCTGATTTAAACACTTCAATTGCGTAATATTATATAATTAACCTTCTGGAGCTTCCACAAAGTTAGAATCGTATTGCGGTATTGGTTCATTATAGGCGGGTCTAACATCATAAAATAGAAAGTTATATTCTCGACAATAATGTATAAATTAAGATAATAATTAATTTCTTACTCTGAAGAAAGTTCTGTAGGAGAGCAAGTTGTCTCTTTTTCCTTGCCTTTACCACTGGAGGTACCTTTAGGATTAAAAGTAATAATTTTAAAATTTTCGATTGTACGAGAAACTTTAAGAGGTTTTTCGTTAATTATTTCCTCGCCATTATCAGGTTTACGTGGTCTCCCGCGTCGTTCAACCTTCAAGGGTGTAGGACTGGGCGTTGTTATTTCCTCGGGTTTAACTTCTGGTACAGGAACAGAAGTATTTGAACTCGAGTTTCTAAGTTTACGCTTAATTACCATGGTATAAATTGCAAGAACATATAAATTTTAGCGATTTTTTTTTTTTTGTTTCAATGGTTTTAAATTTAGGCTGGTCATGTCAAATCGGGCGAAATTTGGCGTAAAAAAAACGCGAAACGATCATCTGATTATGAGCTAATTAATATCTCATTAACAAGTAAAAATTTTTAAATATAAAAAGTCGGAATTTACATTTTGATTTTCGCTTGATACCCAACATGCTTATTACTGCAACTCAATCCATTCAAGCGTCTCTGAAGGACGCTGGTATTATTCCCGATGGTATAGTTCTTCATTTTCATTTTCTTGATTTACATTGAACGCAAATCCATCCTAATATTATTCTAGTTGTTGATAACTTTGCCCCTACCGCAATTTTGAGTGTTAAGTATGGCGAGAAAAGTTTAGAGCTGGGAAACGAATTCACTATTAATGGTACTTGTTTATTTCTTTTCTTTTCTTTTCTTTTTTTTGATGCTTTGAATGATGATTTTAACAATTTATAAAAATGGTTAAAAGAAACGAAAAATACTCCAAGTATCGAATTTGTTGCCGAAGACGAAAATTCTCGGTACACGCTTTTGATGGTAAAGTTATCCAATCATAATATTTGCGACTTACCATTTTTTTATCTGACGCTAATTTTTTTATACAGGTTGATCCGGACGCACCAAGTCGTGCAACACCTAAGAACAGGGAATGGCGTCATTGGATAATTGGAAATATTCCACGTGATTATCTTTCATAAAATAATTTTGCCTGTAAAAAAGGGTTCAAAATTTTTAAATCTCTTTTACTATAATTAGATTCAGGAAATTTATCAGAAGCAACTGTAATCACTTCTTATAACGGACCAACTCCTCCTCCTGGCACAGGATTTCACCGATATGTTTTCTTGCTATATCGTCAACCTGATTCACATCTTGAATTTCAAGCTGTTCCTTCCCCTCGTGGTGGATTTAAAGCTCGCCTTTTTGCTGAACAACATGGATTACAATTAGTTGCGGCTAATTTCTTCTTGTGTAAAAATGAACATTAAATCGTAAACTGTGAATATTTATCTGCTCCTCGTTTATTGAGACTAGTTTAAATTAGTTAAATTAATATAACGAAATTTACAACCGATACAATTGTATTTTGATAGCATAATATTTAAAAACTAATTTGGAAATTTTTCAATTGTTGTTCATGCATAAATCTTTAAGTGGCGCAGCAAATTAATGTTAATTGATGATCGTTCAACTTACTGTACATGTATAAAACATCATTTAATTTTTTCCTTTTGCAACTGCGGCATTCTGCGATACGATACTGAAGGAAAACTAGTCCGTGCTGACTAACTTCCATTCTTTTCCATTATAATATAAATACCGGGAAACTTCTTTTCTCCTCAATTAAACCGGATCGTTGCATTTTTTTATTTTTTGAGAATTATTTTACATAATAATTGTTGTCTAAAAAAAGATCTTGTTTATTGTGAAGACATAATAATACTCTTTTAGTTATTTTAATTATTTATAAACATATATTATCTTCCAATAATTACAAATGTATAAAGTTTGGCCTTTTACGAGTTGGGGATTGGGCATAAAAAGCATAAATATTCCCTCAACGATCCAAAAAAGGTTGCTCAAATTCTTACTCAAAAGGGCCTTGGGTCAATTTTTAGCTGAAGAACTAGATCTCGATAACCTTGAGGTTCAACTGGGCGAAGGGCTGCTTCAACTAAAAGAATTACAACTAAATGTGGAGGTACTTAATATTTATTTTATCAACATTCTCATTTTGATCATTCATAGATATTATCATTCGATTGTTTTGCGCGTGTTTCTATCATTTTTTTTTGACTTAATATTCTCTCTCTTTTCTTTTTTGTGTGTATTTTACTTCTAAAGGTATTAAATGATCTTGTTACTGATTTACCAGTGGTTATAACAGACGGAAAAATTGGTGGCATCATCGCTAAGATTCCATGGAAAAATATATGGAAAAGCGACTTTGTTTTGGAGCTTCATAATTTACAGATTACTGTCGTTCCTGAATATGCTAAGCCAAGAAATGGTAAAACTAATATTTTCAAAATTGCAATGAACTAGAGATTATTTGATTTTTCGAGATACATGCACACATATATATATATATTTGTTATAAATTTTTTATATCTTTTTTTCCTAATTTGATAGCAAAATCTACTCCTGAAGACTCGCATATACTTTCATCATCATTTCACTTTGCTGGTGATTTTCTTCGTCATGAAATACCTCCCGAAGAAGATGAAGAACTTCGAAATTCTATTTATCATTCTTTCCATAATAACGCGTTGCCATCAGAAAGTCAGGAACTTGGAAGTTCAGGTCTTGAACAATCGGAAACATTACCACAGCAATCTACCATAATTGGTGATAATGGTGGTATAGAAGGTATCCAAATTTTGGCGCGGCTTATCGATAAATTAATGTCGAATGTTAAAATAATTTTAAAGAACACGTGTATACGACTTTCTCATCAATCTACTATTTCACCTAGTGGAGATGATGGTATTTCAAATAATAGTGATCAACTTAAGGATTATTATTTCGATCTCGAGATTCCGATCATTTCTTTTAAGGATGAAAAATCTGGATTCGATGATGAATCAGTTTCACCTAATTCAACTGGTTCAGCTAACGTGACATTACCTCCAGCACAACCTGAAACTGTAAAATCTTTTTCAATCACTGGATTAAATATTTGGTTAAGAGAAGCAGCTAATAAGGCTGTAAATCATTGGGTCCAACAACAATCACCACCCTCGTTTAGTGGTGAAGATCCTGAAGACAGTGGAGATGAATTTTTTGATTCATGTCAAGGGACGAGTTCAGAAAATGATGATGATCAAGATCAAATTAATCCTTATGAAGCCATGATCTTTTCTTGTGCAGAACAGGAAAATTTAATTAAAGTTACATTGCGTCAAAACGCCCCTCCTGTTATTCAATTTGATTCACAAAATGCTGCTGCGTCATACTTGTACACTCAAGAAGCTATGCAACAAGCAAATAGTACTCAAACTTGTGAAATTCAAGGTGCTATTCAATCATTGATTGCTGTTTTGACTCCTAGCCAAGCATCATTAATTGCAGATTTAGTCGACGCGTTGTCAAAAAGTAAATCTGCTGGCGATATTAGATCTTCAAGTAGTACTGAAAGTGATGACGAGATTCAAGATACTCCTCGTTTACATAGTCATAGAAATAGTGATAGAATACCAGAAAGTAGCGTTGATAGTATTTTTAATGATTTAGGTCAAGACGTAACTTATAGTTCAGTGCCTTCTCCCATTCAAAACAATGATATGGATGATCTCTTATATAATTTAACTTCTCCTACTTCAAATACACCTGGATCAATTCCGACTGTTGCACCTAGCATGAAAATTGAATTCACAATTCATAATATTGAAATGTTCTTTTTATATTCTGATCCATTACCTAATTTTATACCAGAAAAGAAATTTTTCGATACTCGATTACCTGAAAATTTAAACATTAGTCATATAAAAATCGATGTTAATGAACTATCCTGCGAGATTCAAAAATGGGATCCTGAGACTTTGATCGGTAGTCTGAAACGAGTTGGAAGTGTGCCGAATATAAAAAGTTTGGATACTGAGGAAAGCTCACGCATATTGATAGATATAACATTTGCTGATTTTTCTATATCAGAATGGTTAAAGAATGACGACCCAGAAATCGAAAAATTAAAAACTGAGGTTACGCTTCCAAATTTTAACACTTATGATCCTTTGTTATTTTTTGATCTTGAACTTTTGAATTCTTATCGTCCCGAAGAATCAGAATTTCCAAACTTTCCAGTAAAAAATGTGGATCATTATGGTTTTAATAGAAATACTGGAACAAAAAAAGCCGGAAGGACTACTTCTAGATTTAATAGAAGCAATAACAACATTTTCAAAGACGTCATTAGATTAAAAATTAATATTACGAATGTTTCTAATGAAGGTTAATTAATTTTGCGCGTTATTTTTTTTTCTCTTTTTTTCTCTTGTAATGAATCTCATGAAAGTTTTCGAATTTTAAGTTTAAACAACATTTGTTTCATTTAGGTAACTTGTCATCAGCCGCCAATACAGTAAATTATGAAGTTGCTGTTGATTTAGAACCAGTGCAATTACATCTTGACCTCCGAATAATTGATCGATTGGAGAATTATTTAGTCGTTTTTTCTGGAGATTCTAGAAATAGCATTTCTCGAGAAGAGAAATCTGCAAAACATAAATTTAACGATCATTCGACAAGTCAAAATATAATTGATGACTTGGATACACAAAGGTTGAATGAGGTGAAGATATTTTTTTTTTTAAAAAAAAAATTTGGAAATTAATTTTTTTGATCAATTATTTCGTTAATTAACATCTTGATTGTTTCTTTTAGAAAAATTTGGAAAAATCTCAGCTTCGAATCAATTGTGACTTGATTCGTTTTATATTACATTGTCCAGATTTGAGTGCTGCTAATACACATAAAATTGTCGAAAATTATTGCATACACTCTAATTTAATAATAATTGACATAATAAATATCAATATTGCAACTGGAAGTACGAAACAGCCATGTGTATCACGAACAGAAAGTTACGGTATCCAACAGCATTCTGAATCCGAAGGACACTCTAACGATTTGCAACAAAATAGAATGAGAATAGAATTTGGCGGAATAAACATTTTCTTAAAGGAAACTAATGGTGAAAAAAAAAAATATTATTTTTACGTTGTATGTTATAAGATTATATCTATTTATATATTAATTTTAATTTGCAATTTTATAGATTCAAACGCTAAATGTTTTCTTACTGGGATGCCATTATTAACATCACATTCGACTCATCTTCGGTCTATGACTCATATTTCTCCAATGTATCCTAACTTTGAAATCACTTATAGACCCCCAAGAGCTATCAAAAACAAATTATCTTTTATTGGAAGCAATATTCGATCTTCGCCATTTTCACAAACTTTCACCTCATTCGAAGGTGAAGATCGTTCTAATTGGCCAGCAGAAAACGAAGAGGAGGAAATACTGATATTCAAACAAAGAACGATCGAAAGTTCGGTAAGTATTATTTATGTCTTTCAGGATATATAATTTCTAATATTACTAGACTAATTGTTATTTTCTTGATATTTGGAAAATGAAGTTATTTGTGATAAATTGTAGTTTTCCTCTTACACGTGTTAGAGTTACAAAATCTTCTTTTGATGTTCTTCAAATTTTGTTGAATGATTTGGTATTATGGCAACCTAAAAATAGTGGTGCTGCTAATGAACAAGATAATCACGTTAATTTAGCTGGAAGTTACGATTATAGACCATATCAACCAGTTTATGGAATGGATTCTTATGATTCTGAAAATCATATGAGGACTGAGGGAAGCTTTATGGGGTCTCGAATGGACATGTCAATACCGTCGAGGCCTAGTCTCGCGTCAATTGTTGTATTTATGACGAAAAGTATATATAAATATATCTGCATAATTGAATTGTTATATAATTAATTTAAAGCTGAATTTGTTATTTGCATTTATAGTCGAAGTTGTTATATTATGTGATCCTGAAAAGCAATCTGATAATCATGCAGAATCGGGGCGTACTTATCAACTCAATATGTCAGATTTCAGATTTTTTACTGTCGTTAAACATGAGGGAAAAGTGCGTATTAAGAAAAAATATTTAATGCAAACTTTTTAATTATTATCAAGGAAATATTTTAAAATGTATTTTATTCCTTTTTATAGAATGATACTTACGTTGTTCTTGATAATGAATATTTGGATTATTTGGATATAACCACCAAAGACAAAACACAAATATTATGCCGTACATTGAACAAGGGGTTGAAGGTGACTACAATGTAAAGTACATCTATTTAAATTACTTTAATCTACAAAAATAATAAAATTTATTATTATTTACCTAGGCAAAAAACACGCGCCCCATGATGTCTTTAATAATGCTTATCTCTCTTGACGTCGTAGTAAACATGAAGGAAGTGAATTTAACTTTATCTATTAATGGAATAACTTTACGGCTTTCTCAGGATACAAGATGGATAGATGACTTAGTCGCATTTCTTCAAGAACCAGAAATGGTAAGTATAAATTTAAAATTTCAATTCACTTGAAACCTCTAATTGTTATTCATGCTAAAAAAAAAATTTTTTTATATAAATTTTTACAGAAGACCTTTATAGAACTTCCTAGTCAATTTACAAAGTTGTCAGTGACTATAAATGATTCTTCATTAGACTTTAATCCGAACAACATTCCCGGGCGTATTATTCTGGTTCTTGATAGTTTAAAGGTACTTATATAACCATGCGTATACTCTCTTTGAAACGTCATTGATAACGTAATATTTTCATACTTACAGGCATCGAGCAATATAATATCCGAATCACCAATGTTCAATACAAAATTAATTGGTCAAAATTTGGATTTAATGCTTGTCGGTGATAAAAAATCAATTGATGAGCGCGCAATAAATCGACTCGGCTCATCAATTATTGATGTTAAAAAGTACTGGCAGGTAATTTATATTCATATTTATATTTATTGAATCATTTTTAACTTATGACAATAACAAATATTATTCTAATTGTAAAATAAAAATTTAAAGACTATGGGATTCGTTAAAGCCGCATCTCTCGACTTTGTAGAAATTCAACTTCACAGTACTAAAGCAGATATTTATCCGAAATTTGAGGTATTTAAATATTGTGACGTTTTAATTGTATTTTTCAACGAGTTTAGTAATACCTTATTATTTTGTAGCTTGATATTACTAATGAAAATCTTACGATCGAAATATGTGCGGATACATTTCAAACAATATTGAATATGATTAATCATTTAACTCCAAAAGGAGAAGTTCCTGAAAAGGGGTATGCAAATTATTGTTTAAAATTATATTAAATATTTATGATTAATAATTTTTTTTATTTAGACGAAAAGCTCCGCATGTAACAACTGATCCCATTGTTCAGAATATGTTAGGTTCGTCTTAATTTATCTTTCAAAATTTTATTTAATAATTCAATGTTAACTAATTTTTTATGTTTAAACTTAATATAGAAAACTTGGATGAGCATGCCTTCGATTCAAAAGCAAAATCCCGTGCCACACCCGCGATGATCGACGACATAAAGATATCAAAAATGTCAAACCGGAATTCAGTAACCAATTTAGAGTTTATCGAGGAATATTATGCGATAGAAGGAAATGAATCAGATGAATTGGATACTCATACTTTTGAACATCCCGTTATGTATGATGACAATGAAGGTACAAATTTATGATATCATTATTAACTATTTGAATTTTTTTAAAAATCATAATAATAATAATAATCGAGTTGATGATGATGCAAAGGTATTTTGATTGAGCAGCCACTATTTGCTGCTTCCTCCACAAATGAAATCAATGAGGATTTAGTCGATTTAGAAAATTCGGAAGAAGATAACCGTAGGGATGATAAAGTTAAAAGGCTGGATTCGCCTACTATAGAATTTGTGGATGATCATTTTTCTATACCTAATGCAAACGAACCCGAGAATTCCTATATTCAAGAGTAAGTTTGTTTTGCAACATCATTATCTTTTATTTATAAATACTTATATATACCTCTCTTAGGTTGCCAAAAAGTTTGACACGGATTAGACTGAGAGATTTTAATCTCGTATGCAAATTGCATGATGGTTATGATTGGGAACGTAGTAGAAAGGAAGCGTTGGATTCTTTGAAGCGTGCAAATTCTCAAGCCAAGAATGTAAATGTTGTGGAGACAGGAACAGCGTCTGGTTCTTCGATTGGAGATAATCCTTCATTAGAAGAAAATAATATATATAGTCATAATTACAACGCTCAATTTAGAAATTCAGATTATGACTTAACATCTGAAGTTGATTACACGGACGATTATAGTGATACTGCTAGTCAAGTTAGCTCACGTTTGGATCCTGACAATACGAATATTCGAGAAGGTAAACGGCCTGAGCATTCAAGTCGCCGATCTCGACCAAAATTAAGTCGCTCAAGCTCTAGCAAAATAGACATAAAACTTGAAAAGGTGAATTTGGAATTCGATGTTTTCCCCGATGATAATTTATTAGCTTTTAGGCTGTTACTTCTTGTCCGAGATATAGAAATTCTAGATAATATAAAAACGTCTGCGTGGAATAAGTTTTTATCACATATGCGCCCGGATAATAATACTAGCCCACGTGAAAGTAAATCAAATATGATTAAAGTAGAATTAAATAGCGTTCGTCCTACTCCAACTGATGCTTCTGAAGAGTTACGAATAAAGGTAAATAATTCCTCTTATAAAAATATCGGATTTGTCATGACTTTCGTTATTAATAATTCTTCGGCAGGCACGATTTTTACCGCTAAGGTTTTATATTGATCAAGATGCCCTTCAATTCTTGATTCGATTCCTTTCTTTTCAAGATTCTACCATTGAAAAACCTCCGCAGGTGGAAGATGATACTTATTTCCGTAAGTTTAATAGTTTGATGCCATATTCCCTTAGTTAATATAATAACAATTATAATTCGTCATTTACGAGAATAGAATCTTTTGAGATACATCCACTTAAAATGAAGGTCGATTATAAACCTAAGCACATTGATTATACTAATTTGAAGGAAGGTAATTTAGTTGAATTAATGAACCTTTTCCATTTTGAGGCTGCGGAAATGACCTTAAGTAATGTCAAGTTGACAGGGGTAAGTTCAAATAACCAAATTATTCGATTTTTTACCGAGTCATTTGATCACAATGAATAATTAATTTAATATCAAGGTTAAAGGGTGTCAACGTCTATTTGAGGAATTGGGTGCAGCATGGTTACCACATATAAAGAGCACACAAGTACCCAACGTAGTATCTGGTGTAGCTCCAATACGTTCATTAGTTAATTTAGGTTCGGGTGTTGCGGATCTTATTCTCTTACCAATTGAACAATATAAGAAAGATGGTAGGATTATTAGAGGTATACAAAAGGGGACAGAGTCTTTTGCACGAGCTACAACAATGGAAGCAATCAGATTTGGTACCAAACTTGCAGTTGGAACGCAGATTATGCTTGAACATGCTGATGAAATTCTTTCTTTCGAATCTCAAACTGGCAACAACACAAGGGGAAGTATTAATACTACAGTAAGTTCCATAGATGAGGAGTTTGATAGCGAAGAAGAAAATATTAAGGAATTAATCAGCAAATACGCTGATCAACCAGCAGATTTGAATGAAGGTAATGTTATTTATTTTTTTGATAACGAATATTTTATCAAACCTTTTCTGATATTTTTATTTTAGGCATTGAAGCAGCTTATAAGAGTTTACGAGCAAATATAGGTACTGCAGCTCATACAATATTTGCTGTACCTATGGAGGTATATGAAAAGACTGGAACACAAGGAACGGTCAAAGCTGTGATACGAGCAGTTCCTGTTGCTGTTTTAAAACCTATGATTGGAGCTTCTGAGGCTGTATCGAAGACGTTGCTTGGATTACGAAATACAATTGATCCCAATAAAAAATTACAAATGGAAGATGTATGTATTATTTATTTAATAAATTTTCTTATTAATATTATGAAATCTAAAATTAAAAATATTTGAATATTTTATTACAGAAATATAAGAAACGATGATTTAGATTTGAAATTTTAAATGGTTTATTTTTTAGATTATTATTTTATATGAAGTTGTTTGAGTATAATGAGTATAATAATATACCTAATAAGAGATTTTATTTCGATATTAACGAACATTCATTCACTTTACACTCTTATATATATATATATATTTATATATATATATACTGTATTATGTACATTTATCCTTTTCATTCTTTTTTTTTAAATTATGTAATTTTATGTATCATTCAATAACTATTAATATTTCTTGATTTTAGAAATATAAATAAATAATTTATAAATACAAAATGCAATATTATTATTAATAGCTGATCGACCGCGACAAATATAACAAAAATTTTTTAGCTGAAAAAAAAAACGTATGACAAATTTATCTTACACTCCACTTGATTAGTAAATTATTACAATATTTGTCATCCCATCCTACACTTTTCGGGGACAGAGAAAATTTTATCGGAATAAAATCATATATATTTGTCACGCCCCATTTGTTATATGGAGGTTTGCTAGGAAAATGGGTTCTGAGAAATCTTTAAATTTTATTGCATTTTAATTTTTAATGATACAGTCGACCCCCTCTATAGTCACCTCCTATATAATCACGCCCATTCTTTAGTCACATTATAATTCAGTCTCAATTTTTTTAATACCTCTTTTATAATCACAATAATATATAAAATATCTTACCGCAGTATTTGAGGCATAGCACTTATAATAAATGTAAGAAAATCGCCTTTTATTAAATTATATCCCTTTATATAATCATAGTAAATCAAAGAAAAAAAAAAACTCTCCCTTATTTTACAAAACCAAAATTTTCATACGAAAAATAAAAAATTTAAAGTTCATTTTTAACAAAAAATTAATTAATAAACCCAGTATAAAGAAGGTTTCTTTTGTTTTACCCACCTTCTTACTTACGCAAAAGAGTTATGATGCGTAAAAGCGTTGTGAAACAAAAAAATAGTGACCCCAAGTTCGTTTCATACGTTACTCCAAAAGCCCCAAAAGAAACTGTTTGTTCTACACCAACTCCTTTGTCTTTTTCAACCTCAACTTCTGTTCCCACCAACCTTGATTTAGAAATTATCCAAGAAGTTTTTGGCTCATTACCAGAAAAAACAATGGAGTTTGAATTTTTTGACGTATCTAAAATTGCTACTCCTAACAAAATTTCACCAGTTATTCCGCCTTCGAATAACAATAATAATAATAACAATAAAGTTGACAATATTCCTGAAAACTCTTCTTCATCTAAAAATATGTCAAATCTTTTAGACCCTGATGAATATTTTGAAAACGATGATATGGAAGAAGATTTAAAAGATTTTACCATTGTTACAAAAGCTACTCCCTTTACTATTACTAATAATATCAAGTTTACACCCAAAGAAAAAACAACGGCAAAATTATTCTTACCATCAATAACGTTTTTGCTCAAAATGACAATTTTAGAGAAGTTTCAATTTATCGCGTCAATTTAACGCGTTCAGTAATCGTTTACTTTGCGATATCAGACGCAGCTGCCACAGCTTTACACGTGACTATTCCTGATCTTAAAATCGACACTTTCTGTGATTTCTTTCAATACAAAGCTGATATGCAATTCAACGAAAAAACTATTCATGTTACTGATATTCCTTTACAAATGAAGCCTGCTAAATCAAACAAGTTTTTGCCAAATATGAAACTATTACTGATATTAAAATGACAGTAAGAGGTATGTAGCAACATACCTATATTACCTACGAAAATCTTAAATGTATTGAGCTATTTTATCAAGTGTGGAGTCGTTTTGTCCAAAATGATTCTGTCCGTGTCAATCCTTGCACTTTATTTCTAGAAGAAATTAAATATAGGAATACTCACTATATCAAATTAACGAATCTTTCTTTTGGTATCTCTGCAAGAGATCTTCATGATATAATTCTTACTACTAAAGTTAGAGCTAGCTATATTTCTAGATCCAACAACTATAAGCCTCGTCCTTTTGTTATTTTACATTTTGAAAATGAGGAAGCTCTCAATCATACAACTCAACAAAACTTTGCTTTTGGTAATAATCAACTGATGTGTTGTTCTCCTGATGCTAGAAGCTGTCACAAATGTGACGATTTAGCTTATCTTATTATGAAATGCCTTTTTTACAAAAATCAGTTACACCAAATGACAATAAAGAACCTATTAAACTGAAGACACCCACTCAAAACAATTCAATGCAAAGACTCTACAACAAATATAAACCTGTGGCTTTAAAAAATTTGTTGATTCTAATCGATTCAACTGTTCTTCCAAATCTTATTCTGAGACCATCAAAAATAAGAATACTCCTTCACCTCTACCACCAAAAGATATTATCAAACCAACTGTAAAGGATTCTGTTCACAATCTGAATAATGAAATCAATAATAAATTGGATCAGATTCTCTCAATTCTCTTCAATATGAAAAAGGATATGAACAAATTGGATGCTAGAATCGTCAAACTGGAATCTCTTCAGGCTTCTTCTCCAATTACGTCTACAGTAATTCCTTCAACTATTGTTAATAAAGGAAAAGATCCATTAATAGTTTCACACATTTCTCAACCTTCACCTAAATCACAAGATACGTCTAATAAAAGATCCTGCATTGCTAGATTTTCAAGTGATGACTCTTCACCCTTACCAATTTTGACTCCAAAACCTGACTTTACTAATATGATGAATGAACAAGCTGCTATTATTGCTTAACAAAAAAGACAGATGGACAGAATATTCAACATATGATCAACTCACCCTCATTATAGACAATGACTTAGAAAATTCACATAGTGATAATAGAAAATTAATTTTAAATAGAAATACCCTCACCTTTGCTACTCATAATGTACATTCTCTTCGTGATAATATTAAAAATAGCAAGATACTAGATACTTTATACCAAAAGAACGTTAACTTTGTTGCTTTATCAGAAACTTGGCATCAATCTTCCCAATCCTTTAGATGTTCTTCTGATTCTTTTTTTGATACTTTGTGAAGTTTTGTCTCTAATAAGTTTTCAGGTGTTGGTCTACTTATAAGCAAATCTTGATCAAAGCATATTGCTAAAAAATTCTTGGATAATGATTGTTATATTTATGTTAATCTTTATTTAAAAGAAATATAAAGCTAAGAGTCTTCTCAGTCTATATCTATGCCACTGAATCTAAAGAAAGGAAAGTTCTATAAACATCATTACTATGACTTATCGATAATAGACTCCAGTCTGGTTTTCACATTATCATCATAGGAGACTTTAATACAGATCTGATCAAATTACAATGCTTCATTAATTCTGGTAAAACCATTCCTTGAGAAGGTAGCAGTCTTATAAGACTGCTACCTTCTTGCGTTATAATGCTATCTACTTATCGTTAAATGCTACCTACTTATCGTTATACTGCTACCTACTCATGTTATAATGCTACCTGTTTTTATGTTTTCGATTCTCTGTGATCTTTTTATTTCATTGTAGCTATCCACTTGATTTCATTGTTCTGTAATCTTTTTGTTACCTTGTAGCTATCCGCTTGATTTTATTGCTCTTTCCTCTTTTTATTATCAAGGAACTATTCATGTGTTTGCAATACTTTGCGCTCTTTTTGTTACTAAAGAGCTATTCGCTTGTTTTTCTCTTCTGGACCTGTTTGGTGGCCTGTTAAGATATCGAGGATGCTTCTTTTTTGCGTCTATTTGGTTGCCCTTTAAAATATTGAAATGATGTAAAAAAAGAGGCGAATCCGGATTAAAAAATAATCGGGTCGGGTCAAACAATAATCGGTGGAGTCGAGTTCAGGTCTTGTAAATATTAACAGGTTCAAGTTCGAGTTTGCTTCAAATCCGACCTGACCCTTATGAAGCACTATTCTGGGATTATAACATTTCAGGTTTTAGGGTGTCGGAATAATGAACCATCAGGATTTTGAGCTTCAGATTTTGCACGAATCTCAAACAAAATATATTCCATCATTACGTCGTTTGATCAACTATACTATACTATTTTCGTATTACTCAACAATACAATCAAGATTATATAAAGAACAACAAATACATTGATATACCTTTATTAAATTATTATCGAAATACGAGCACCACTTGAAATTAATAAGGAGTTTCTGTAACTTACGCCTTCATTAATTATTAACGTAATGATCTTGTGAACTAATTTTACAAATATCTTAGATAATTCTTTTTTGTTATATTTACTTTTATGGACCAATATTAATATATTAAATAAAGCTATTCATTGCTAGTTTTTACCAACTAAATTTTTCTATGGTTTTTATTGTTTGATCTTTCTTTTTTTTTTGACCAATATGCGTGGTATATATGCTATTAAAATTGAGGTACGAGACATAGTAAATCATATGATCCGTACCTCAATTTTAATAGCACACCACCCATATAATAATTTAGGTTAGTATCACGTTCCTGCTGTGTAATGAAATACAACCACTTTATTTATTCTGCAAAACTTCAATAGAACTTGCTGTTAATCCAACCAAATATTTTTAAATTTGCATTATGTACATATTTGTTATTATCGTAACAATTAAAAAGAAATTCAATTAATTCAATTTTATAAGTCACATAGATTAGGCAACAAAAAGTATCCCATAAAAGCCATTAAGGACCCGCATTTTTCATAAACCTTTTTGTAATATTAACATTTATGGCAGGTTTGAATAAAAAACAATTATTTTTTTTTTTTGATCTTTCAAATTTTAAACCAGTAATTCAACTTTACATTGTGTAACCTATCAGAGATCGATCTGCATTTTTTTGTTTTATTAACTTTTATGGTTAGTCTATTCAAAATTTTTTTTTTTTTTTTTTTTAACGATGTGGCATTGCCAGTAACTTTATTATATTTATAAAAGAGATACAAAAAGTAAAACTAAATACAAGAAAAAAGAAAAGTACTAGCTATCCCCCGTGATTATTTTACAAACCCGTTTGAATCGACCAATCATCGTCTTTTCCCTCCAACAGACCCACTAAATTTATAT